CAAAGGATGAAAATCAGAGTCACTAACACGTTTTAGTGACGGACTTCATATATTTAATGGTAGATTTTGACCTACCATGGTGAGAGTGGTCCTTGTTAAACAGGTTCAGGAAGTCAGGGTGCTTGTGCAGCCAACCACCACCACAGGGCATCATTACCAACCCCTTATGCAGATAGCAAGAACTGCAGATGCTGGAGTCAGAGATGACACAGTGTGGTGCTGGAGGAACACAGCAGGCCAGGCAGCATCAGAGGAGCAGGATAGTCAACATTTCAGGTCGGGTCTGAAGAAGGGTCCCGACCCGAAATGTCAACTTTCCTGCTCCTCTGATGCTGCCTGGCCTGCTGTGTTCCTCTAGCTCCACACTGTGTTATCGCAAACCGCTTACGCAGTTGTGGAGAGACACAAGCAATATCGCACTTTACGAAGGAGTGTCCTCTCTACAGACTAAATGGCAAACACCTTCAACTTAGCAAATGAGGAGGGTATTGCTTGTCTTTGGGGATTGACAAATAATAAAGTGTTAGAAAGGAAATTGGAGCCCTGATCATCACTACTCATTGCTCCAAGCTATGATATGAATTTAAAAAGTGCATGTTGTCATAGTTATTCTGACTGACTGGGGACCTTGTTGGCTCAGCTGGTGCTTGGTGCCAATGGCATAGAATTCCATCTTTGTTCTGGCTCATGTGTATTTGGAAACTACCTCTTTGCCCTGTCCACAGTGGAGGCCATGGCTGTTGATGGCACTTGCCTTCAGGCAGAAAACTGAAGGAAACGATAAACAAGAATCCGTTAGAGTTTCTGTGCATTTAGGAAAATTCCATTGAATATGTGCGTTTCATAAGGGAATCCTCCCCCACTGCCCTCATCACCACCAGTGGGCCCAATCAGTCAGCTCTCAGCCTCAAACACTTGGGCTTTTCATGCATCTTTCCTCTCTCTATACATAATTAAAGACTGATGAATTATTATTCATGAGCACTCAAGACACAGCCCAAAATACATTGGCCTTAACATTCTTACAAATTAGGACGATCTTTATTCTTTAAGCTGCAAAAATAATTGTGTAGCAAATATTAATTATTTAGCAAAATCACAATATTAGCTGCTTCATTTAATTTTCGAAAGTGAGGTATTGAGAGCTATATATTTTGATTAATGACTGTTTAGACATACCATCATCATACTGCATTGAGATACATTGGACAGTTTTCATTTCAGTTGGATGTTAATAACTGTTAAGACTATCAAAACTCTTGGTTTACTTTCAGTTTTGTTTTAGGATCTGGAGTATTATTGTTCATCCTGTAGTTTACTTTTTGTAGTTATTCCTATCCTGCATAGGGGATGGCTAAAACTCCAATAATATGGGTTTGATTTTCGGTCCAGCTGAAGTCGTCATCGACCTTTTTTTTTGAAAATAGCAGCAGCAATCAGGCCTAGGATTCATTTGTTAGATTATTTCCACAAACAGAAAAAGAACATAAGGGGCCTCACTGCTGTCAGAAATCCATCTGAGGTCCACAGCAGGTGCTGCTGCCTTGGAGCTCGCGACCCCCACTTGGGTCACAACTCATAATTTGGGAAGACCCGTAATTGATGCCAAAAAGACAGAAAATATTGCTACACCTCCAAGACAGCACTGGTTCAGTGACAGCCAGCCCTATTAACTGATAGTCTGGTAGATTTGAGGAAGCAGGGGAGACTCCCACAGTTGTCCACAGTGAGTGAATGTATTTTTGAAGATTTTTATTGAATGACCTTCTGCCACCAATTACTCCCCTCTGTCTCACAGCAGTTTTCCCTGCCCAGCTCCCCACAGCTTCCACAATTAGTCTCAATTGTGCAAAGAAAATGAGGAAACATTCTTAGATGCCCTGATTATGTCCTGGTTTTCTAAAGAAGATAACTCCTGGAGACTTCAAGACAATCCTGTCAAGACAAGCATGACCTGGCACTGCTATGCTGAGAGTTGTTGTCTTTCAAATATGATGTTAAACTGCCCATCTCAAATGGATATGATTCTGGCTTTATTTGAAAAAGAAGGGAGTTAGAGTAGTAATGGCCTGCCTGATCTGTAGCAGTGAAATATATTTATCTTGCTTTTTTTTGGGAGAGATTACTGCATACAAATTGTCTTTAAAAAAATATTATGATGGTGATGACACTTCAATAGTCCTTCATTGGCTGCAAACTGCTTTTGGATGGACTGAGGTTTGGAAAGGTGCTACACAAATATAAGTGCAGTTACTCTTGAATCAAAGCCTATCACACCACTCTACACTCTTCCCGAACACCAGCATGAATGAAATAGATTAAGTGATACAATTTGGTAGGAAGCATGAGGAGTGGAAACATAAAACAAAAGGTACAATTCTAAACAGTGTTACGGAGAAGGAGAAGTTAAATGAAAGAAAATCCCTGATAGAAACTTTACAAATAACAATTTATTTATTTAAACCTAACAGTAAACAAATTAACAGAATTACTAACAAACAGAACAATTGCCCCCAACTCCTAATTACTCACAAATGACAAGTGACAAACAAAAGTAAGTAAGTTATGGTGAAACTTTATGATTTATGAAAACTTCAGCCTCAACTAGCATATTGCGTGCAGCTCTGCCCAGAATACTATCCACAAAGTATAAAGGATGGGAAAGAATTGGAAAGTATAACAGAACGGTTCCAGGGTAAGAAATTCAGCAAGGATACATTGCAAAACTGGGGCTGTTCTCTTTAGAGAAGAAAAGGATATAAACAGGTGTTCAAAATCACAAGAAGTCTGAACAGAATAGACAGGGAGAATTTCCCATTTATATAAGGCTGCAGATTTAGAGGACACTGATTTAAGAGGATTAACAAAGGAAGCAATTGCAACATGAGGAAAAATCTTTCTATACAGCGAGTAGTTAGGATCTGGACTGCATTACCTGAGAGCATGACGGGGCTGTGGGCTTTTAAAAGAGAATTAGATAATTTTCTGAAAAATGAAAATTTGCAGGTCTACAGAGAAAAGGTAAAGGACCAATTGGGTAGGTTTTACAGAGTGTCAGTATGGACATGATGGACCTTATTGTCCCCTTCTGTGCAGTAAGCATTCTGTGTACAGAATGGGAGGGAGAAAAGGGTTTACATGTCCAAGTAGCAAATCACAACAAGCTAGTTGAAAAGTACGAAAATTAAGAAATACACAAGTGAATGCTATGCAGAACCTTTGTCAAATTCCCATCTGAAAAACTGCATATATCACTTTAGGAAAGATAAATTGACCTCAGTAGAATTACAGCACAGATTTACCAGAATTACAACAGTAAAGAACTAAACAATGAGGAAAGAATTGCAATTGTGGTTGTAATGCCTCAAGTTTAGAATAGTGGCAATTCAATCAAGGTATCAAAAATTACTATAAAAAGGATTTGATATATATAAATGTCTGCAGTTGGGAGACATTTCTTGGCAAACAAACCTAGAGAGACACAATGTTAGATTAAGATGCACGGGGTGAGAGTGAAATGGAGCAAAAGCAACTAAATGGGGATAGAATGCAGATCAGCCAACATTGATGATGTCATTGAAACATAGGAGTCTTAAGGTACTTGACAGAATGCTTCCCCTCATGGTGGAGTCTATGACCAGACGACACAGTGTCAGACTAATGGGGTGCCAATTTAAGACTGTGGAGAGGAATTTCTTCTCAGAGGGTGGAGTGTCTTAGGAAATCGTTCCTACAAAGAGCAGAGCCCTTGTGCATATTTAAGACTGAAATAGGTTCTTGATCAGGAGGAGAAATTAAGGGTTACAAGAAACAGACAGTAAAGCAATACGAGGAATGTTGGATCAGCCATGATCTTATTGAATGGTGAAGCAGGCTTGAAGGGCCGAACAGCCTACCCTGTTCCTATTTCTTACGGTCTTATCAAATACCATGGAAAAACAGGCTATATGGTCCACTCCAGTGAGTACATTTGAACCATATTTCGTTGGCCATTAACCTGGGGGAACCAGAGGAGTGTGAAAGATATAGATACAAGTTTAACTTTCACGTTTCAAAATGTGCTTTAAAGCACCGTTTAAAAGAAATCAAAATAGGGCTGCAACCTTGCTTTAGTTCCTCTGGTTTGCCACTAAGCAGCAAGTGACCATACTTCTGGGCACAACCAGAGTGTATTTTGCCAAGTTTGCGTCTGAAGCTGAAATGACTACGCTTGCACCACGCAGCCCTCGCCTTTTGATTGGAGTTTTATGAACGGTGTGACCCCAGCAGCATGGTTACATACTGACTTCTGATTGTACGAGGAATGGACGGGAATGGGAGGGCCCCAGCATCTGCTTTGGGGCCAATGAGGACTGCGGCTTCAGATCACGAACAGTAGTCTCGATCACAATTACCTTGCATGTCATTGGCCTGCCGTCGAATTTACCTCCTCCCTACCCCCTCCCCCTAGAGCCGCCTCCTAACGGAGGCCTTCCACACCTTGAGCGTGCGGCATCCGCCATTGCTGCCCCTCGCCCGCAGCCGGCATCGCGCGGCTGCGCACAATCGCATTCGCGATTGGCGGGCCTGCCTTGTCACGCGGGAAAAGCCGCCTGTGGATTGGTCCCTGCCACGAGAGCGTCAGTGTTCTGAATGGAACTGGACATGGCGGGATTCGGGGTTGTGGCATGGCGGGGGTGAGGGGAAGACAACTCTCTGCCGCTATTGGTTGAATAAGCAGCAGCGGCGGTGATTGGTGGGGAGGTGGGGCCGATGTGCGTTCGCACCGCCGTGATTGGCGAGGGCGGGGCGGCGGCCGTGATTGGCGGGATCGTGTGCGCGTTCGCGCCACCATGATTGGCCGAGGGCGGGGCGGCGGCGGCGATTGGCGGGCTAGGGTAGGGGTTCGCGCTGTCGTGATTGGCCGAAGGCGGGGCGGCGGCGGTGATTGGCGGGGCCGGGTGTGCATTCGCGCCGACGTGATTGGCCGAGGGCGGGGCGGCGGCGGTTGGGCTCGCGCAGTCAGGCCCGTGCAGCGGTTAGTACGTCTGGCGCTCAGTCCGAGAGGCGGCGACAGGAGCGGCGGCCGGAGGGCGGTTAGCGGCTTTCCCCCCCTTCCCCCCCTCACTAAACCTTTCCTATTTACCCCTGACCCCTCCCCTTCCCCCCTTTTACCCTTGACCCCTTTTCCCCTCCCCCCTCCCTTCACCTCTCTCCTTGGGTATCCCTCGGTCTGGCAGTCGTTGCCCCGAAGGGACGCCGACTATTGTTCCCGCCGAGCGATTCCTTCCCCCTCCCCCTCTTCCCACCCCTGCCCCTCCTCCCTTTTCCTTTCCCCTCTCACCCCTGTTCCTGAGACCGGTTCCTCGGTCCCTGGGGTGGGGACACGCTCTGGACCTTCACTTGTACCCCCTTCTCCTCTTCGGACCCGCCCCTTGTTCCTGGCACAGCTCCGGCCCGGCTTACCCTGGACTCCCGGACCTGGTGAGTTTCAGTAGTTAGTTTTTTTTTAAATGGAGGTAGTGGGATTTGTTGGTTGTGATTTTGTTTTTTTTAAAGAAACAAAAAGTACATTCACCGCCCCCTCCACCGGCTGCCTGCGCTGTGGTGTCCTGGGTGTGGTTTCCCTGTGTACCCCAGGCTGTTGAGACTGATGGTGTGGTCAAGGCTGGGCCTTTGTGCCTGCCCTCACTTCCAGGCCATGTGGATGCTTAGATGGGCGTCGTTGGGCCATGTGCCCACTTCTGTGTAGGTGTTGTTGCCCAGCTGGCCGCTTGGGCCATCTGTCCACTTGAGAGCCCTAAATAAGTATGGTGCTGTCTGTCTGCAAGTTTTGTCTTGTGAATGTTTATTTTAATCACCCTGTTCGGAAATATTATTACACACCTGGGCCTCCTAGCTTTTTGGTACGGGCAATACCAGTGCACCACAAGTGCTCATGAATGATACAGAAGTTTCCACTTTGGTGTGGCTGCTTCAGGGCTTTGCCCTGAAGTTCTGATAGCCAATTAAATTGGCTGTTTTATGCTGGACTTGATGCTAACATTTGGGTACATGACTGCTGTGTTTGGTTAATATGGATGTCTGTATGCAAGGGCACAATTCATGCAATTGATTTATAATTATAAGTTGATCAATGCTTTAAGAGTCAATATCACCAACCTAGTGGGAATGGGAATTTTAATTAAAACCCTAAATGTAGTAATTCAGTTTGGTTGCTTGTATTTATTGTATTTATTTGAACTATTTTTGGGGGAATAAAAAGCTAATTTTAAACTGTATAAGATTGCTGTATTTATAATCTGCATTTTTGCAGTTACTACATGTTTAGTGAAAATTATAGTCAGCTTGTGACTTCTGTTTGTATGGCCAATTGATGCTTGATAGTGCCAAGTGAGCTGTGTTTGAATTGTTGAGAAAATCGTGGCGGTATTGTGCTTGTTTGAGGTAGTTTACATCTTCTGTTCCTTGATGATTGACTGCCCCTTTTATCCAAATACCATGTGGATTTTTTTTTTCAATAGGAAATGTATGCTTTGGAAACGTTTGGCAGCAATGACAGAAATCAGATGTTTAGTTAGTTTAAAATCTTAATGGCATAGATGTGACCATTTTTAAAAAAAGACAACTTCACAACATTTAAATTTTAACTTTTAACTTTCTATCATCCTGTTAACCCTTTTTGAAGACTGGATCTGTGTTTATGCTGAAGCGTTGACAGAGCTTGGGTAGATTGTTTAACAGTTAATGTAGCTTTGTTTTAGTTAGTTCATTAACCTTTCAAACGTTCTCCTAGCCTTGTGGTTAAAATCTTTAATATACATGCAGTTATGTCCATGTGCGTAGTTGGCATTTATCATTGGACCTTTGGTGTCAGCTGACATTCTGTTGATGCCAGGTAAGCAGAATAGGCCAGAATTCGTAGAATTGTGGAATGGTTACATCATAGGCCATTTGGTCAGTCAAATGTTTCTTCTCAAAGAGCAATTTAAGTACATGCATCCCCCTTGCTCCATCTTTTACTCGTGGCCCTGCAAGTTTTTCTCAAGTTCATACCAGTGCTATTTGAAAGCCACAATTAAATCTGTCTCCACCTTGGTCTCAGGCAACGAATCCCAGAATTTTACAAGTTGCTATGTAAGGAGGTTTCCCTCACGTTGTCTTTGTTTTTTTACCAATCGCATGAAATTGGTGTCCTCTGATTATTGGTCTTTCTACTGTTGGGAACAGTTCATCTCTATCGACTCTGTTCAGACCACCACCACCATCACATGGGAATACGTCCCTTGTTCCTGGAACTGTTACTTCAGTGCTATTTCCAATACTTTCGAATCCCTCCTATAGTTTGGGGCTCAGAACTGTGTACAGTGGTCTAGTTGAGACTGAAGCAGATTTTTTTTAAAAATGCCATAAACTTCCTTACTTTTATATTTCTCTGTATATGTGAAATCCAGGATCTGGTACACCTCGCTAATTGCACTGTTGACTTACTGTCACCTTCAATTCTTCATGCAGAAGTAACCCCAGGTCCCTCTACCAGAGTCATAGTCATCCAGCACGGAAACAGACCTTTCCGTGCAGCCAGTCTATGCAGATCATAATCCCAAACTAAACTAGTTAACACCTGCATGTGCTTGGCCCAAATCCCCCTCAAACATTTCTTACTTGTGTATTTATCCAAATGTCTTTTAAATGTTGTAACTGTACCTGCATCCACCACTTCCTGTTGAAGTTCATTCCACATATGAACCATTCTGTTTTTAAAAAAAAATTGCCCCTCGTCCTTTTTAAATCTTTCTCCTCTCACCTTAAAAATATGCCCCCAGTCTTGAAATGCCCACCCGAGGCGAAAGATACCTGCCGTTCATCTTATCTATGCCCCTCATGACCTTATAAACCTCCTATAAGGTCACTCCTTAACCTCCTATGCTACGGTGAAAAACGACCCAGCCTATCCAGTCTGTCCTTTATAACTCAAACCCTCCATTCCTGGCAACATTCTGCTAAATCTATTCTGAACCCTCTTCAGCTTAATGATATCCTTTCTATATTAGGGCGACCAGAACTGGACAAAGTACTCCAGAATAGGCCTCACTAACTTCTTGTACAACTTCAACATAACGTCCCAACTCCATACTCAAAAGTTCTGAGCAGTGAAGGCAAGCATGCTAAGCCTTCCTTAACTGCCCTACGCAAATGTCAAAGAACTATGTACCTGAACCCCTAAGTATCTCTGTTTTACAGCACTACCCAAGGCACTATTTTTAATTATATAAGTCCTGCCCTTGTTTGTTTTACTAAAATGCAATACCATACATTTATCTGCTGCACTTCAGCCATTGATCCAATTGGTCAAGATTTCTTTGTAATCTTCAATTACATTCTTCACTGTCCACCATACCACCAAGTTTGATGTCATCTGCAAAATTACTAACCATGCCTGCTATCTTCTCATCTAAATCATTTGTATAAATGACAGACAGAAGTGGACCCAGCACTGATCCCTGTGGAACACCATTGGTTACAAGCTTCCAGCCTGTAGTTTGCAGTCCCTTTCGAATTCTACCATATATGTCATAGTTTTGTCATCTGTGAACTTTGAAACTGTGCTTTGTAACTCGAAGATCAGGACCTGATGTATCAGCAAGAGCAGGGCTACTAATACTGAGTGTGAGTGACACTTTCTAAAGTTCCCTTTAGTCCAAAAAATTCAAGTTGCCGTTACTGTTTCTGCCCTCTGGATAATTTTGTATCCATATTGCTTCTGCCCCTGTTATTTCTGTAAGCTCTAAATTTGCTCATACGTTTGTACTGCACTTCATAAAATCCTGTTTGAAAATCCATGTACTTTACTTTAACAGCACTCAGATAGTAGGAACTGCAGATGCTGGAGAATCTGAGATAACAAGGTGTAGAGCTGATTGAACACAGCAGGCCAAGCAGCATCAGAGGAGCAGGAAAGCTGACCTTTTGTGTCTAGACCCTTCTTCAGAAAAAATGATTTTTAACAGCATTGTTGTCACCAACCTCCTATAGTTTGGAACCTGTCATTTCTTCAAAAAAGTCAATCAAGTTAGTTAAAGAGAATTTACCCTCTTTATGTCCGTGGTTTTGTTTAATCCACACGTGTCTGAGTGATTTAGTTTTGTTCTCATTATTTCTGATGTTAAACTGTGTTGTTCTGTACTTCCTGGGTTTATTCCCTATCTTTCACAACTGTATTTATTCAGATGTGTCTATACAAAAATATGTATAGAACCTTGCTCCGATCTATTTTGACCTAGGTTTCCATTATTGCTGTAAATTCATATTCGCATGTGGTTCTGTAGCTGTAGCTCTCAAATCTTATTTACTGTACTGCCTGTGTTCATTTAATGTGCAGAAAATCTGATTTGAGCCTTATTACATTCCCTCTTCGGGAATCTTTTGTAAGATTCTCAAAGTTAGCATTCAAGTTCAGCAGATGTTGGCTTTTATTTTAAAGGGAATGAAGTATGAAAGTCGGAATGTTTTGCTAAAACTACAGTAGGCATTAGTCCAATCACAGCTGGAGTTCTGTGCAGTGCTTTGGGCCCCTTTATCTAAGGAAAGATATACTGGCATTGGAGGCAGTCCAATTGAGTAGGTTGGTCCGGTACTCATTGGAATTAAGAATGAGAGAAGACCTTGTTGAAGCATACAAGATTCTTAACGGGCTTAACAGTGTAGAGGCAAAAAGGTTGTTTTCTCTTGCAGGAGAGTTTAGGACCAGGCAGCTTAATCTCAGAAAGAGGGGTCACACATTAAAGACAAATGAGGAAGAATTTATTTTCTCAGGGTAAAGAATCTTTACCATTCTTCACTGAAGAAGGCTGTCAAGGCTTGGTTATTAAGTGTACTTAAGGCTGAGATCAACTGAGTGACCTTTGATTCCTTCACAACTGATAGGGAGAAGGAAGGCAAGTGCAAGTTGAATGGCCTACTTGTTTATCTTATGGCCTCTTGCTCTGAACCCTACCTAAAACTTAATATTTCTTCTCACGTTATCAGGGTTTCCTAACTTTTTGTATACCTGTTTTCCACACTTGGCTTGTTCTGATCCCTTGCCGGATTAGTTCATGTCCTTCCAATAGCAGTAGAAAAGTTCTCTTCAAGAACATTGGTCTTGACTGTTCAGTTACAACATATCCGGTCTGTACAAATCCAATTGATTTATTTCCTTCAGTTCCAATTCCTAGGAATCTAAAGTTCAATCTTCTGTAACACCTTTTGGCTACACGTTCATCTCTGCAACCTTTGTACATGATAGTGAGTGGCGCAGGGAGTAGTATCTTTCCCAGATCTCCAAAGTTTGCTTGCTGCTAAATGTTGGCCATCAAACTCTGGCATTGAAATGGGTAGTGTAGTTTTTGGAGAAGTTATCGTTACAGAGGATGGAATGTAGATGTTTTTAATCAGCCTGTTCATGTGTTATGAGACCTTTGGAGCAGGTGGGACTTGATCTG